TAACATCTATTAATTTAAGTATCATGGTGAGTGGTTCGCACTCAGGTATTAAGGTGTATTATACCCACTGTCCATTATAAGTGGGAATGGGCTCACTTCTGGCTGGACAGAGTTTCGGTACTACAAGTGCAACATGGATGTTTTGAGGTATTACAATATCTCTAACTACCCTGTAGGGGAATAAAGTACTGTTGTGAGCATATACCTATGCTTGAAAGGTTGAACCTTGAACATCACCATACATCATATTTATAATTAACATTCCTACCTCGACACCATCACAATCAAATTCATTGAAATCTACTTCAAACCGTTGCGGTATCATCTCTGCCATATCCATTGTGTCTCGAGAAGGTGATGGTGGCTTTGTTCCACCTCCAGTTTTTCATGTTTCACGGCGATAAGCTGATTCAATTTAGTGCACTTCCACTGATTCATCAATTGTTTTTTGTCTCTTGTCCATATATTTGCTAGATTAAATCTGAAAAATTACATGTTTTGATTAAATAATGTGGTAATTTTTTTGAGATGCAGGTACTTATTAAAATGTTTACTTCTCTGTTATATCGCTCCAAGCCTTCATTTTCTCCTTATTAGTATTCGTGCTTAAATCTTTGTTCTCAATTATTGATATATAGGGTCGTAGAATATTTCTAAAAAGTTGCTGTAACAAACGCAATAAACAAAAGCAATGAATAATGGTTCATGTTTCAGTTTTAATCAACAATAATACTCGATAATACATACGGATAGTTAACCTCAATTGTATTGAAGCACTCAGGAAGGTTGGCACAGTTTTTTCACAAATATTTTATCATATTAATTAGTATTGATTTAGATAATCAATTCGTATAATGAAAATAACTAGGTATATAATTATTTATTTTAAACAATAATTAAAACTCCTATATTTGTTTAAAAGGTAAATGTCATTGTCAGATGTCATGGTCATTCAAAATTCTTGTTAAGCTGCTAAGCTAAGAATATGCGTGAAGTTAGCTTCACGCATATTCTATTTCTTTTTACTTGTAGATTGTCTTATTCCCATCTCGCTCGCGCACGCTATATCACACTGCCAATTTTGTGTCATAGGTGCGCGCGCATCGTAAAATTTCACTCTCATCAATTTTTCATAACGCGCCTAAAGAAGTACAACTTCAAAAATAAAGAAAGCCAAAGAAGTATAACTTCTTACGCACGTACATAAGTACACGCACCCTTTTTTTTTGGTAGCTGTTAAAAGAGCTGGTGCCATTTCTGAGCATGGCAGTGGTGTCTTGAGTGACAGTTGAGTTAACCCCAAAAAGCGGAAAAGTCTGTCCCGCGCGGGGCATTTCATTTTCGTTAAAAAATCGGGACGTCCCGCACAAAATACGGACGTATGGCAACGCTGTGTTACGTACTCTGTTTTATATTTTAACCGATGTATACTTTACAACCTCCAGGTTGCGTTATTTCATAAGTGTCTGAATTAGAAAAGTATTATTTAAGTAGAGTCGTAAATAGATTTTTTAAGCATTTTTTGCAACAAAATCTTTTACCTAAACTAGCCATATTTGATTGCGATAAATAAGTAATATTTGTATTGTCTGTTATCACACGACCAACGCAGTTGTGCAGGTAACTGCTTGACAATACAAACAATATTTCCTGATATCCTGATAATAAAATATTACCTGATAATAACGTAGTGTACCACAAAGAACGGTTCGGTGGCCGTCGATACACAATTCATATTAAAATAATAAGTCCTGAGTACATACCTCGTCAATGTCTCCCTACAGAAAGATAGGCACACAGTGTTATCAGCCGTAAGGATTTGGGAATAGTTTTAGTATGGGCACAAAAAGAGGTTAGACTGATGGTGATTGATACCTTGCCTCACAATAGTTTTTAAACACGCACTAAACACTCACTATACAATTTTAAATAGTGGACGTATCTATAATTAACAAAAAGTACATGTGTACTATCCAAATAAAAAATGCTAGATGCACGAGAACACGTAACCCGAATGAAGCTCAACAATGACTAACAAAAAAAATGTGTCGATCGGCCGTGTAAAAATATTTGGCATCACCCTCATCAAATTTAATAAAATTAATATAATGTATTTCGAACAGTCCCCCGTCCCAGTCAGGCGCAACATGACTGAGTCCAAAACCGGAGGCTGGGAACAAAGTTTATGCCACTGGGAGACGTGACAAGCCCGCCACGGCTCTTTTTAAAACCGATTCCCGAACGACAAGAGAAATAACTCTTAATCCCGGAAGAGGCTCAACAAGTTCCGTTTTAGTGTGAGGCCAGCAACTCTCGGGTTGGTACAGCCAACCTGGAGCCCACCACAAGGGATGGTCTAATATTACTGGAGCCTCACAACCTCGAGATGCACAGTCTGCCGGATTAAGTCCTCCCGGTACATGCCTCCAATCTAATGTCACAACAGATTGCTGAAATTGGCAAACCCGATTGGCCACGAATACTTCCAGAACATGAACTGACGCTTGCAACCATGCAAGAACTATCTGACTATCAGTCCAAGCAAAACACTTCTGGATATTCATATTTTGGCCAAAAATGGATTTAACATGGTTTATCAAACGTGTCAATAGAACAGCACCTGATAACTTTAATTTAGGAATTGTTAAGCGTGTTCTTACCGGTGCAACCTTACTTTTTGCCATAACCAGTTTAACCGTTACAACACCAGATTTATTGACAGAACGAATATAAACTGCAGCAGCATAACCACTTTCCGATGCATCACAAAAACCATGAATATCTACTGTGCATTTCCCTGGTGGCAATAAAGATCTATCAATTTTAATCAATTGAATTTCAGGAAGGGACGAAACAAACCTAACCCAAACACTTAACAATTCACCTACTAAAGGGGCATCCCATGTTAATCCTTGTAACCAAAGCTTTTGTATAAAACATTTTGCCCAAAAAACAACTGGAGCTAACCATCCATTAGGATCATATATCCTGGCTACAGTCGAAAGTACTACACGCTTGGTCCAAGATTTAATTACATCTATATCCTGCACGCGAAAAGTAAATATATCAGCTAACGGTTGATACTGAATACCTAATACTGCAACAGCGTCAGGGTTGTCCACGTTCTGAAAAATATAAGGATCTTGTTGATGATCCTCGGGTAAACCAGCAAGAACAGCTTGTGAGTTAGACACCCATTTCCTCAACTCATATCCACCAGCCTTAAGAATCCCAATTAGCTCGTTGCGTAGTATTAAAGCTTCTTTCTCATTTGCAGCGCCGGTGCAAATGTCGTCAACGAAAACATCACTTGTCAAAACATCAGCTGCTCTTGGAAATTGCAAACGTTCCCGCTCAGCCAATTCTAATAATGTACGAATAGCAATATAAGGACTTGATCTGAGTCCATATGTATTGGTATTCAATTCAAATACTGTAACAGGATCGGATTCCTTCTCACGCCACAGGATAAGTTGATAGCAACGGTCATCAGTATGAATTACAGTTTGCCTAAACATCATTTTAATATCTGCAACAAATACGATCTGATGTCTTCTAAAATTTGTTAAAATATCACCAATGTCACGATGTAACCTTGGGCCCGAATGCAAACATTGATTTAAAGAAACTCCATTGGAACTAGGCGCTGAACCATCAAAAACTACTCTGATTTTACCACCTTTAAACACAGCATGATGTGGGATAAAGTAGTGCTCCTGTGTGCGCCAATCAAAATCAGAAACTGACATATGTCCGAGCTTAAAGTACTCGTCCATAAACTCAATATACTTAGCACGAAAAGGCGAATCTCTCTTCATTCGTCTCTCCATGGATGTTAACCTTTTCTCAGCTAAAGTCCTGGAGTGACCCAAAAGAGGTCGGGATGGTAAGAAAGGTAACCGCGTGACAAACCTACCTGAACGGAGACGACCAGTGTTGTTTAGTCGCAGCATGCCTAAAACTTCTGCTCCGAGTAGCAAATCAATTTGACCGAAAATGTTTCATTTTCAATCCCGATTAAGAAACATGAAAAGGACATTTTTAGTCCACAGGGAGTTACGATTTTACTGTTACATGAACACAATATTTATGTCTAGTAATACTTCAAATTTTTTTTGTAAAATAAGGAATTTTGAATATTTTATCAATTCAGACCGACTGGAATTGGGAATGATGCAGGATGTCATTTTTCGATATAGACCATTTTCTATGGGCTTCTAATAATATTCTTTGAGCTTTAAGTTTAAGCCGTCAATTCGAAGCAAACATAGAAATTTAGGCATGAACTTTAAGCTCAATGTATAATTAGCTATTTACAGTACTTTAATTATTAATTATTTATTGCAATAATTATTTTATACCATTATATTACTATTATTTTACTTGCTGGAAGAAGTAAAACTACTACTATTATATTACGTGCTGGAGGAAAAAAAATCCCCACATTTATAATAATTTGCATGATTGTCACCTACGTTCACTGGCAGGGTCAAGAACGCGCCCTGCAGATCTATTCCGAGAACCGTACGTACGGATTATTTAAAAAATAAATAATTAATAAAATAATCACAAGTATGCTTTCTATCTTTAATTATTCTTCAAAATAATCATAAAACAATTGAAAATGATAATTCTATAACATAAACAACTTTAATAGTTTTCATAAAATCAAAACAATAAGATATATCTACTAGACACTACTAAATAAAAAATAACAAGATATACTAACACTGAAATTACATTTCACTATTATGTGTTTTTAAAATATTACTACTAACTATTCTTATTAAAGTTTTTACATAAATATATGTATATTCTATCCTCTGTTATTTGTTAACTTGATGTAGCAGTCTCTCGCTGACGCACGATTGATGAAAACCACTCGAAAACCCGAATTATATAATTTTTTTTATAAATTCGCATTTATATTTTGGAAGTCAAGGATTTTGGTAAAGGGAAGAGAGAACATTTTCAATAAATATAATATTTTGTTTTAGATTATGCTTTTCCTCATATGGACAGGCGTACTCATCGGAGTTATTTACATTTATCTTCGACGAGCCCATTCAAGATACACACCGTACGATATTAAACAATTACCAACTTTGCCATTCATTGGCAATGTATTACCGCTGATCCTGCGCAAGATGCACTTTGTAGAGGATTTGTCACGTTATTATGATAGCTTTCCTGAAGAACGGTGAGTATCGCTGTCGTTCGTAAGCAAACCAATTGATGAAATAATTTTATTGGTTGCATAGATAGATCGAAAATGCATAGAAGATAGATATGATCGAAATCTCTTATACTAATCGTACTTCTAATATAAAATAAGTAATAAAAAAAATAAAGAAAGCTTTAATTGCTCAGCGATATGAATATAAATGTTTATTTGATATTGACGGGAAGATATATTAAATTAATATTGTTTTGTTGCTTTGTTATAATATCATCAAAAAGAAAAATAACCGTCAGTATTTTCACGCAATTGTGAGACATTCTTCACTTTCATATTTATGTGGTAACTTTATAACTGAGGAGCGTGATTGTCGTCGTTCCATGAAAAAATTGTAGTGGAACAAAAAGAAAATTGCTGAAGGTATGCTATAAGTGTCAACATTAGTCCGTAGTAATGTAGATTACTGAACCCAGCTGGAGGAGATCGTAACTATAAAAAATTTCAAGGATAAGACTTTTATCGGATATCAATGGTCTTCAATTAATATTTTTTTAGGTTCATTGGGAAATATGAATTTACAAATCCAGTCATAATTGTGCGTGACTTGGAACTTATTAAAAAGGTTACAATTAAAGATTTCGAGTATTTTCTCGATCATCGAGCGTTTACAGATGAGACGGTGGAGCCCATATTTGCAAGGAACCTTTTTTCATTGCGAGGTCAGACATTTCTATTTAGTTTTCCTAAAATTAATCTGCAACCCCTGTTTCATCAACATCTTTGAATTGAAATATTTTTTTGAACAAAAGGTACTCGTATTAAAGGTAGGATTCTAATCGTAAGGGGCGTAGTATTTTTTATGCAATTATATGCAACGAACAATTCGTTCCGGCTCGGAGGACTAAAAAATTGAGCAAAGTATTTTACATTACTTTTTTTTTTTACTTTGCACTTAATAGACCTATATTTATGCGAAGGACTTTTATACATAATTCTTTAGTAAGGATAAGATATTTCTAATTACAATAATAGGTGATGAATGGAAAGACATGAGATCAACTTTGAGTCCAGCTTTTACCAGTTCTAAGATTCGAGTGATGGTGCCTTTTATGGAGGAGGTAGGAAACCAGATGATGGCCGCCTTGAAGAAGCAAATCAAAGCGAATGGAGGTAGTTAAAAATGCATTCGCAATTCTATAAAACTGCTGTATTGGGAAACCATATAGGTCGATTAATATTTATTTCTAACACAATCCTTATAGAATTCAATCCTTCGAGTTATTAGGGTTTTTGTGTGCGTTAACATGTTTTGAGAGTTCATTATTACCATTATATAGAGCTGAAGGCGACTGAAATCACTGCTTCTAATTACCATTTAACCAGTTATGAAAAATGAGATGCATAGGATTATTCCTATGAATATTGTTTTCCACATTTCGATATTAATTTGCTTGGGTTTTAGCAAAAAATATGCATGTGTTTGTACCTAAGAATTACAAAAATAGCAGAGTTATTGCTTAATGTGACGTAATCGTTGATCAAGTGATTTGAAGAATAGAACCTTGTGATCGCTACACTGTGCGTCTTTATATCCTTTATATTTTGGACTAAGAAAAATATAGAAAATAATGATGTACATTATTCGTGAAGATATTTAAAAAACAAGCCAGCCATTCTTTCGTGTTTGTAGTTGGTTAGTTAAAACTAGTAACTATTATACTAACTTAAATATACAGTTGTGTTATTCAATCTGCCCACTTATATTCAAAATTGCTGTAAACTTGATTTGAACTTGAATTAATACGATAAATGTTTTTTCTGAACTTATCGCTAAATCGTTTTAGTTTTTGCGGTTTATAGTCGTAATTCATTTTTAAACACGTTGTTCCATGACGCTTAGAACAGATAGAAGACAATATGGGCACAAAATCAGCACTTAACTTTTAGTTACGCGCCTGCTCGATTTCCTCATGTCACATAAAAAAATAAAATAATAAGAAATAAATATAGTATTATAAAAAAAATAACCAGTGCTATGCCAGGTAGTGCGCAGATATATGCCTAGGTGAACATATCGTAAATAAAACATAAGTAAAGTTAAAAGTTAAACTGATTTTTGATGATTCATCGCGTCGTAAATTCAATTGGTATGAAAGAGCCTTTGTTTAAATGAAATAAAAATAGCTTAGTTTAACAATTAATTGAAACTAATTTTTTTTTATTAATAAGGGTTAAAATGTATCCCATATAATTTCTAATATATTCCTTAAATATTATTATAGTTGGTACAAGTAATAATATCCGATTGTGAATAGTTGTGAACCAAGTAATTGTCTTCTTATATTATTTAAAAAACCTTCATTTCAGATATCATTCATTTTTAATGCTAGGTAAGACTATTAGACCACAAGCCCATGAACAAAAAATACCTGTGAAATGACCCAACCTGAATTACGCTTAGAAGGCTGTTACTATATCTGAAAATAGCTCTGAGCACTATGCCGTCATTTCTGAGCGGTACATGTGAGTACGTGAGTGAATGGACTTTCTCAGGTACAATGGTGGAATTTCGACTAATTATTAATGTACGGCTTTGTTATAAGTGTATAGATGATTAAAAATAAATGTCGAAAAACCTAGTGCCGCACAAATGTCATGGTACCGGAAGTCGGTGCAAATTTTTAATTCGACGACAGTTGCAGAAGCAATATAGGTCATTTATTACTGTACGGCATTTGTGTGATTCCTTTTGGACACATATACAGATACTTTACCCGTAAACGCCGTACATATTCCCAGCGGAGCGGTCGAAAGCCAAGGGTCGGAACCCTACACCCTACACCCATATACCCTAAGGTCATTGTAAAATGTACGGCAACATGTTCAAAATATTATTTAACACGGACAATAATGTTTTATAATTATGCCGTCCAAATATTATAGTTAATATTTGTGTAATTAAATATTTATCGAAATTTCAGGATTTACCAAGTTCTTACTGCTGTAAGATCAAAGAATAATGTACGGCAACTTGTTTTTTTACATAAAGTTACTAAATATTACCGTTGTACCTTATAGCCGTTCATTATAAATGGTAACAAATAAAAATATTATGATAAAAAATATATGAAATTTCCGAAATTTAGATGACTTTTCAAATGCTCCTAGAGTAATATGGGGAGTAATATTTTCAAAGATTATTGTTATTTTATATGTAACAAATATAAATAAACAAAAAAAACAGATGCCGTACATTTTACTCCAGATTATTCTTTACAGCTGATAAAAACTTCGACGACGTTTGAGGTGTCCCTTAAGGTCATTAATAACTGTACATATCTGAGTATACTACCATAAGGCTGTAAAGTATATTTACAGACTTATCGTACCAGCAGAGAGAGGTAAAGGAAAAATATTTTTAACAAAAATAAAAATATAATACAGGGCGTCCCAAAGTTATGAGACATGAAGGGAAAGTACCTTAAATATCGCAGATAGGGTATTTTACTAAAAGAAGACTTTATGTTATTTTTAAAAGTTAGTTATTCTGCATTCGGAAATCGAACCGGCTTAAATTAAAAAAAGAAACACCCCTACTTTTATGATGCCAATCGAATGAATGGTCAAAACCTAATAACTCTTCTTAAGTAACATAGTATTTTAAAAGAAATGGGAATATGTACGGCGTTTACGGGTAAAGTATCTGTATATGTGTCCAAAAGGAATCACACAAATGCCGTGCAGTAATAAATGACCTATATTGCTTCTGCAACTGTCGTCGAATTAAAAATTTGCACCGACTTCCGGTACCATCACTTTTGTACGGCACTAGGTTTTTCGACATTTATTTTTAATCATCTATACACTTATAACAAAGCCGTACATTAATAATTAGTCGAAATTCCACCATTGTACCTGAGAAAGTCCATTCACTCACGTACTCACATGTACCGCTCAGAAATGACGGCATAGTGCTCAGAGCTATTTTCAGATATAGTAACAGCCTTCTAAGCGTAATTCACGTTGGGTCATTTCACAGGTATTTTTTGTTCATGGGCTTGTGGTCTATATTGGAATCGTTAAACGTGCCTCATACTCGTAATATAAAACGGGTATTAAAATCAGTACCATGTTTGTTATCATGGTAACGGCGTGCATAAAAATACTGGTAACCATGGTAACCAATACACTAACGTTTCCACTTTTTTTTATATAATAGGAGGCAAATGGGCAGGAGGCTCACCTGATGTTAAGTTAAACAATTTTGCTTTTTGGGGTCAGTTTTTAAAGGAATTTATTGAATATTGATTTCATTGTTGAAGCAATATGATACCATAGAGTTAGTCCATGGTCAAATCTTAACCACAAAATCTTTTATAGGTCAACCAGTAGAAATAGACTGCAGGGACCTGACTCGCCGTTACGCGAATGATGTCATAGCTTCTTGTGCTTTTGGCCTCAAAGTGGATTCTCACGCAGATGGTGACACACAATTTTTTGAAATGGGACGAAATGCTGCTGAATTCAAAATGCGACAAATGATCATGTTTTTAGCATATAGCGCGTTTCCCACGTTTGTTAAGGTAAGCACACGGGCGAGGCAGATGTAGGCAGGTAGTCCTGTAGGCAACGCTCAATGGAATTCGAAAGAGTATTTCTTTGTTCGGTGGAATATGAGATAAAACATTTTTGGTATATGTTAACACTAGTTGTAACATCTAATTGTAAAGCTAAAGCATGCAAATACAGGAGTCTAGGCTCAGAATATGATTTAGTCCCATTCGGTGTCGAGACCCTTGGTCCGTGGGGTCCTAGCACTATAAGGCTTTTTAAGGAAATAGCAAAAAGGTTACTCGACATCACAGGAGACTGAAGAGCTGGCAGCTACCGCGGGCAAAGAATTAGTCTAGCTATTTAAAGGAACGCTGCCAGTATCTTCGTAACCTTGCCTAAAGGGAATCAATTTAATAATATATTTTAGTTATAAAATTTTAAGGTTAGTTCTTGTTTTTTGTTATAATAATTTATGTTAGCTGTACGATTACGAAATAAACTGTAATGGTTATTGTTTTATATTTATATATCCTTTGGTAAAACTCCCGCAAAAAATATCTTTTATTTTGATAATTACAGTGCCTTCATGAACATGTTCGTAAGCTTAATATTTTTAATAAAACATTATTTGTTTCAGTGGATAAAAATTACACTATTTACTAAAGAAACAACATCATTCTTCAGAAGTTTAGTAATCGATACAATGAGGAACAGGGAAGCTCACAATATACTACGACCTGACATGATACATCTTCTGATGGAGGCCAAGAAAGGTATTGCTTTACCACAGACTATTTTATCCTAATACTTCAGGTCACCGTCGTGGCATTTTGATTTAATTTCCTACAAAACAATAATTGTTACCCTTGCAAGACGCTATCATTCAAATAAGCTTAGTATCTTAAAATCTTCGCTTAAGCGATTGTGAAATAGAAATAATGTTATTACAACGGCGTATAAGACGTATCTACATGTTTTCATTTAAGTCCTCATCTTAATGGTGAAATATATATGTCACAAATTAGCTGAATTTGTTCTCGCGGGACGTTTAACATTAGATGTGCAAAAGTCGTTCGAAGGGTTTTATTTATTTATTTATACTTTATTATCTTATACAAAAACATACATATAAAAAAATATAAAAAGCAGGTTACATAAGTTATAAGGCAACGGGCGGCCTTATCGCTAACAAGCGATTTCTTCCAGGCAACCATAATGTGGAACAATAAAAAATAAACACCTGCGGAGGGTAAAGTACAAGAAGTGCATAAATAATTAACAAAAAAAACTCAAAATAACACGTAACTATAACTAAAATAAAATCAAGTAAAATCAAAAGAAAAAATAAAAATAATAATAAATAAAAATATGTACAAACTAAAATTTAAATAACAATCAAAAGGTTAACTGAGTCACAATAATTAATATATAATAAGGTATATATATAAAAGTAGTAGCTAATTACGAGGAAGAAAAAAATGATCAAAAAGGAGCTTTTTAAATAAATTTAAAGACTGAGCTCGTCTGATATCAATTGGTAAGGAATTCCATAGCAGGATACTTTGCACAGTAGTAGGGTTTCTATTAAATGTACATTCGTGAACTTTTCCCCGACACAAAACATCTGGCTGCGTAGTAAATGATGTTGACACGTGAATTTCTTTGTATTCAAGCAAGTCATTAACGCATTGTTTGAACAAGGTGTCTTGAATGAAGTGCATTTTATCTAATACAATAGCGGATAGTTCCATCAGCTTAACAGCGTGCGAAGTACTCGATAAATAATACTGCAAGTATTGCGCAATAGGTGATTGATAGGTGAACAAATCACCTTGGAGTCACTTCTAAACCCTATTTTAAATATTACCTTCTTGGAAAAATAACCTAACAAGTTATAAACATATATTTAATCATACCCATGTCTTAAGACTGGTAAATAATCATTATCACAATGGATCAATGAATCACGGTTATAATTATTTTTAAGCTTCATTCTATGAGGAAGCAAACAGCTGGATTTGTCACATAAAGTAAAATTCTGACGTCCATGGTTTGCTTGCATGGCTTATGGATATTCTTATTTTTTACCATTAAAGAAACTTAAAATTAATTCAATAATAAATAATTAAATACCTAAACCCGACGAAGACACATGTTTGCGCGTTTTCCACTAAAAAAACATCCTTTGTCGCTACTCCTCTCTTCGAAGACATTCTCCTCAAAGCCACAGCCAGCATCGGAATACTGGGCGTTGACTTGTTGAATGACGTTCAGCTTTCTGGCCGGCTGCTGGCTTTCCTTCCAGTACTGCGATACTGGAAGAAAAGCCAGCTCCAAGAAGCTGGGTGTGCTCAATAAGGCGAGACGTTACTTCACTCCGGGCCATCGCTTGCAACTGTATAAAGCGCAAATTCAGCCCCACATCGAGTACTGTTCTCATCTCAGGATGGGAGTTCCCAGCACCAGCACCTGCCACTTCACCGTAATCACTAAAATGCGATTCGAACCGTCACTTTCTAAGCAGCTTGACTTGAGCTTGGTGTGGTGTGGGATCTCTCTGCTTCTTTTTCCGCATTTACCACGGAGAGTGTTCAGAGGAATTTTGTTCGAATACCTTTAGCATAGTTTCATCATCGGATTTCGAGGGAGAATACGAAATTCCACCAGTACGACCGCGACGTCCGTCGTTCCGAAACTGGGAATTATTTGGAGTTACCCACTGTAGTAAAAAGGCCGCCAACGCACTCTTGAGCCTCCTGCCATTCATAGTGTCCATGGGCGGCGTTGTCCTCCTGCTCGTTTGCCCCCTGTTCTATAAAAAAAAAACATAACAATAAAAGGATTTTTGTGAATTATGTGAGCTTTAAACTGAATATCGGTCTTATATTAAGTGTGTGCACGTGTGGTGCACCGCTGAGTATGTGAGTGCGCCCTGGGCACATCCAGCAATAGTTGCCGTATCGCATGCCTGGTGTGGTTAGTCGGTATTCGCAGTCCCAGCCTCTCTAACAATTCTTCTTTACGAACTACCTGTAAAGAAAAACAGGTACCATACCCAACACAAACAATGTCAGATTACGCGAGTGAAACGGGTATTTAAACTCCATATGTATTCGCTCCACCATTGTTAAAAAAAAATTCTATATATTGTATGATTGATTCCAACAAAGGCAGTCAAAGTGAACTAAACGTACTTTAGGATTAGGCCTATCTCGAAGCGAATTCCAAGATATACTTGACATGAATACACGCAAATATATTGAGATGAGTATTTCCATTGCGTGCCTGCCGCCTGGTTGACAATGTTTTTTCATTTTAGGGCATTTAAATCACGATGAAAACTCTAAGGAACGTGATGCTGGCTTTGCAACTGTAGAGGAATCTGCTGTGGGCAAGAAACATATTATTCGAAGTAAGTATTTGATGTTTTGTTTCCATAATTCTTTGCAACGCGTAAACTCCAAGACTCGACTAAGTGTCAAGCTCCCGAAAACGTCGATCGACCACACAATGTAACATTTCTTTCTTTCTTTTTCTTTCTTTCATGTAACGTTAACTTTGAGAATTAAATTACTTTTGACGGACATCCATCATATCAGGATATAATAATAAGACATGTAAAAGTGACACAGGTGGTGAGAAATGAAAACCAAAACTGCAGAATAAATATTGATTATATTCTTAATAATATTTTTATTAATACGTTACATAGCGTATGTTTTATGTTCTAATGTTAAATCTACTCCGAAACTACATCTCAATGAGTTAAATATAACGACTGCTTTATACAAAAGAAAAAATCCATTTTAAGTACTTAATTCCTTTAAAGAAAAAACTTTTTAACCGGATTAAAGTTATATATTATTATAAATTTACAATTATTTAACATAATTTTAAATTTAACCGACGTTTCGCGTACTTACAGCGTGCGTGGTCACGGTGACCACGTTTAATCCGGTTAAAAAGTTTTTGACGTGACAACGACCTATTTGAGACCTATTTCAAGTGACAAGATATAATTTCGCTCGCAAAATATTATTCATGTTGTTATTATTCCTATGAGAATTTAGTATTGTCTTTTATTGACATAACTTTTACACATAGAAAAACACTTTTTGACGTGACAACGTCTTATAATTCGATGGAGCCGGCTGCACGTACGAAAAAACATGACTCATGCGGCGTTACCTCTGAGGCGTTCCATTTAAGGCTTGAAGTGCAAGTGAGAGCGCGGAACGAGCGACAAAGAGGCACAGCAATTGATATATGTAATTGTATTTTTGTAACTTGATCAATTCAATTGTGATTTCCATTTACCTCCTTCTCTATATTCATACAAAATATCTATCAAACAAATAATATTAAAATTTTATTTTCAAAAATGCAACCATTCCATCAGTATTTTCTTATGACGTTGTCACGTTCAACTATCGTCAGTAAACCGACTTTACAGACAACCGATTTTTTCTTTAAATGTGTAAAGGTTATGTCAATAAAAGACATTACACATAGTATTATTAGTTTAGTACTTAATTCCTTTTAGCCTGGTCAGACAATGATCTGATTGCTCAAGCTGTTCTATTCTTTATCGCCGGCTTCGAAACGGTTTCATCTGCTATGTCATTCGCTATACGAGAATTGGCGTTGAATAAAGATATACAAGACCGATTGGCTAAGAATATAAGAGAAGATTTTAATAAAAATAATGGCAAGATAGATTACACGTCGATTCAGAACCTACCTTACCTGGATCAAGTTTTTTCAGGTAAGAAAATAGAAATTTTTTGCCTCATTTCTAGAGCGATTCTAGAAAGTTAATTATCAGATGCAATAAGATATCAATAATATGGTAAATATTATTGATATAATTTAACTCTTATTCATAATAACTGAATCAGCCTAGTTACACAATTTGTTCTGTTTCTCTCAAATCGTGTTTACGGTATGACGGAAAGAGACTATGAATAGTTAGTTAGTAGTTGTCTGTCGTATATATTGGAATTTGTATACTCGTGTTTAACACCGCTGTGAATACGAGGTCGCCTGAGGCATGAGGTCTAAAGTAAAAACAGTTGACGGCGGATGTAAGTCTCGCAAACACAGCAAAGTGGTCCTGCCCGGAACACGGCTCATACGCGGGACCAGTATCGTATCCATGAGAGCGTGTACATATACTTAAACATTTCAGAGGTGCTCAGATTATGGACTCCCGGCTTTCAATTGGACAGAATCTGTACAAAACCATATAACTTGGGGAAACCGAACAAAAATGGCCAAAAGGAATACATTGTGAGTAACATACGTAACATAATTTGGTTATAATAATAATTGATTTTCTAAAAAAAAAAATCTTTGTTTAGCTATATAAAAGAATTCAGATTGAGGCCTCCCTAGTACTGTCTCTACTCCAGAGGGAACAAAATTAAAGTTGGAGGAAAGACTCTTACATTTGTGCCGTTATTCATTATTATAAAGTTAAGTAAAATATATATTTTTTTAAAATATTCATTGATAATTGGGCCCTGGGGCTTTAGACATCACTTCTGTCTGGAAATGGACTATCCAGACTTTTATCTACTTAGTACCATACTAAGAATTTTCAGGTCGAATCAGAAGCCTACCTTTATTACCGGTAGGTACTACCGTTGATACACAATACAACAATCTAAGTGATTGTATTAATAAAGAGTTCAACACCATCTTTACCCCAAAGAAAGTCTCTCATTCGCAGTGTAAATCGTTTAGTGATTGGGCGACAGCGGGAATTTATAAAAGTAGACAACGGTTGTATGACCTTTACGCTGAAAAGTCATACAATCATAATGAAGAATTTATTCTTTATGTTCGAAATTATTCGAAATTATTTAAGAAAGTTTGTTACGCGGCCAAGTCCTTAAATATCAAAAACAAGATTAAAAATAGTACCAATAAAACTAAAATGACTTGGAAGATAATTGATAGTGAAACTGGAAGAGTCAGGGATCGCAATCAAGACATCGAACTATGTGTCGATAACACTATAATCAAATCTAACGAAGAGATAGCGATTGTTTTTGATAAGTACTTTTCTGACATTCCAATTTCGACTACTAAGTCTCTTCAATCATCTCCCGCCCTCGCCGAATCGCTGCTCAAAGATAATGTAAACGAGTGCAAGGTCAGTTTTTCATTCCGACCCATTGGTGCCGACGATATAGTGAGGATATTTAGAACCATAGATATTAAGAACACTACCGATCTTTGGGGTATTTATGTAAAAATAATTAGTAGCATAATTGATGTAATTGCTCCCCATCTAGCTATAATTTTCAACAATTGTATTAAAAGTGGCGAGTTTCCCGATCTAATGAAACATAGTAAAGTTATTCCTTTATTTAAAGCAGGTAGTATGTCCGACCCCAGTAACTTTAGACCAATTTCCGTACTACCTACTTGTAGTAAAATATTTGAAAAAATTATATTAAATCAACTGGTAAGTCATTTTAACGTAAACAAATTATTACATAATAATCAGTTCGGTTTTACCAAGGGTCGCTCGACAGCCGATGCCGGTGTTGAGTTATATAGATATATAGTTAAGGCTTGGGAGGAGTCGCATGACGCTTTAGGTGTTTTCTGCGACTTATCCAAAGCATTTGATTGTGTCCAACACGAGACCTTAATCGGGAAACTCCGCCACTATGGCATCAAGAATACCGCACTGAATCTTCTGACTTCCTATTTACACGGAAGAACTCAGAAGGTTGAAGTGAATGGTAAGAGGTCCTCTGGGTCGGCAGTAGATATGGGGTACCACAGGGCTCAATTCTTGGCCCTTTCCTCTTTCTTGTTTATATAAATGATCTACCTTTCATGGTAGAGAGAAAACATCAGATAGTTTTGTTTGCTGATGACACGTCCTTGATTTTTAAAATCAAACGACAAATAACAAATTTTGACGATGTGAACAATGCTCTGTCTTCGATTGTCCATTGGTTTAGTATGAATAACCTTCTACTTAATGCAAAAAAGACAAAATGCATTAAATTTTGTGCAAAAAATGCAAGGGTTATGGATACTAGACCAATTATAAACGGTGAGGAATTGAATCTGGATGATACAACTGTATTTCTCGGAATCACCATGGATTCAAAACTTCAGTGGTCCCCTCATATTAACGGATTGGCGAAGAGACTTAGTTCTGCAGCCTACGCGGTTAAAAAAATTCGCTCACTAACTGATGTCGATACAGCTAGACTTGTTTATTTTAGTTACTTTCATAGCTTAATGACTTATGGCTTATTATTATGGGGTCATGCTGCTGATGTCGAAACTATTTTCATCCTGCAGAAGAGGGCTATTCGTGCAATCTATAATTTAAAATGTAGGGAATCTCTTAGAGATAAATTCAAGGAAATTAATATACTTACCTTTCCCTCGCAATATATTTATGAAAATATTATGTATGTATACAAAAATAGTGATAAGTTTACTAGAATAGAACATACGCACAATGTTAATACACGGAACAAACGCAGGCTGCAATTTCCCCGTACTAGACTATCTAAAGTTCTAATCAATTTGCGATATTTGTTTTAAATAAGTGTTGTTTGATGATTTGCTGTTTTAAAAGAGTACCGAGAGTTTTTTACGCCGGCTTTTTCTCTCGGCCTACACCCTCTGTCTTCTTTGCCGATGAGTAGGGATGCCTTCAAATTTAATGACGTGGAATAAGTGATACATGTATCTTATGTTCCATAATAAACATATTTTATTTTTATTTTTTATTTTAAGCTTCTGATATTAGCGCATTCAGCAATACAAACAAACACACTTTAACATATTGCAAATGTTGCTACTTTACCAACATTTTAAAAATTACAGGCAATCTGGACTTTTATATTTCTATAAAAGTCCAGATAGTTCAGCTATATAATATGTAGATAAAAATTATATCAACTCGTTCATCAATTATTTAAGCTAGTGTCGTATACTCTGACTCATTCAAGGTGTTCTATTCAAAAGAGTCGGTTCTATATTTAGATGTTTATGAAGTAGAAAAACAATAAACTGTGAGTAATATTATTTGCAATTTCCGTTCCTAAACAACACGTTGGATCTAATACGTAGTAAGTTTACCGATTTTTTATCTACTTATTTATGAGTAAAAAAATTGTATACTTTTATAAATTTAACATATATTTATATATATTGTACAATATATCAAGCGAGCAAGTATGAACGTATTTTTTTTAAATTTGCACATTAAAGTTACTAAAAATGTTCCTATAACAGTTAAGAATTATTTCCACTACTGGTATTTCAAGTGTTGAGATTCAATGTATACTTAGTTTATTTGACATACTGATAATTGCGACAGTAGATAAATAGATAATTCCCAGACAGCTACTTGTCTAAAATGACTTCTCATAAACAATGTTCAATTATGTTCAATTTTGTCTGATTTGGTGAGTGGCTTGCTAAACGCCAAATATGGCAGATATTAAGCATTAAAATAACTACGTTGAATTGTATAGAGATCACTTGATTTTTCGCTTACAAAAGATTTAAATAAAATTATTTTTAGAACAAATAAACGTTATTTTTTTAAACTCCATTAAACCAATAAAGGTTAATAAGTTACATAGCAAGCAAGCAGGCGCAGTAGACTCGGGTTAGTAGGGAGTCGAGTCTAGTAGGGAGACATGAATATACAAACAACATAGAAGAAGTACGAGATCAAAGTAAAGGCGTACGTAATTACAGAAACAGCTTTAAAATCAATTCCAAATTCATAACTCATTGTATATGATTTAGGTAATTTTAGGTTTAATTTCTTTTGTTTTGAACCGGCATTGACCAAAGGTTAAATAATATTATGATACGAAATCACAATATTGTAGAATGTACAAATTAAGCAATATCAAGGTCGACTTAACATCTGCAATGCACATTCGTTAACTTTGTTGTAGCATGTATTTTGTTTTAGATTATGCTTCTTCTTATATGGACCGGGGTGCTCATCGCAGTTATATATATTTATATTCGACGAATCCATTCGAGATTCACAACGTACGATGTTAAGCAATTACCACCGTTGCCCTTCATTGGCAATGTATTGCCGCTCGTCCTGCGCAAGATACACTTTATAGAGGATTTGTCACGTTATTATGATAGCTTTCCTGAAGAAAGGTATTCCACTAAGTTTTATTTCAAGATCTTAATGTATAGTTCTTCCAATGGAATTAATTTCACCTAACATAAATAAGGTATATAATTAAATTGTATTTTTAGGTTTGTTGGTAAATATGAATTCACAAATCCGGTTATAATTGTGCGTGATTTGGAACTCATTAAAAAGATAACTATTAAGGATTTCGATTATTTCGTGGATCATCGAGCATTTACAGATGAGAAGGTAGAGCCTATATTCGCAAGGAACCTTTTTACATTGAGAGGTTAGGCATTTTCTAATGTCTTTTTACATAATATACACTTTTGAGGTATTTTTGCTAAATACTTTTTTATTTAACAGTCGAATATATCTAGAAATATCTCAAGTTGCTTAAATTATATGAATTATAATTATAATATTGATGATAATATAGGTGATGAATGGAAGGATATGAGATCAACTTTGAGTCCAGCTTTCACCAGCTCAAAGATACGAGTAATGGTGCCATTTATGGAGGAGGTGGGAAACCAGATGATGGCCGTGTTAAAAAAGCAGACAAAAGCGAACGGAGGTAGATAATATAAACAACATTGAATTAAATCATTTTTTATCATAAATAAATAAAGATTTATACGCGAGCATGATAAAATAAGCAAATGTCTGATGAGATAGTAAGGTGATAGTAGTATCACTAAAATCTAAAATCTAATATATCAAATGTAATTTAACACAAGTGTTAAATTACAATATCCGTCTACCCACTTAAATTCAAATTTGTGACTAAATTGATTTGAACTTGAAATAACTGATACGACAAGTGTTTATATCTTGTCAAATGTATACAATCTACAATTGAAAGTTAATATTATTGATAAGAATTTTCAATTCGTAATTATTCTACATAATTGTATTATTAAATGAAATCCTTTTACTATTGTTCAAATAGCTAATAGCTTTCTTTTAAAATTAATTAAATCGATATATAAATGTGATTAAGATCTCTAAAAAAAGGCGTTTTTGAGAAGATAGGTTCTTTTAAAATAAATCTAAGAATGTGTTTAAAATCATGTTCTTTAACAGTTTCAAAATGATTAATTACATAAATTTGAAAAATAACCTATAAAATATATTTTGAACAAGAAGTATGTAATGTCAATGCGCGTTAGTCCGCTATTCAACGATTAAATATTTTGTTTAAAACATACCGACTGATTTGAAAGTGCTTATAATTTATCGTATATTAAATATGTATGGTAATTAATGGATATTTCAAAATAGGCTAATATCTCGTTTATTTTGAAAACAAACGACAAAATATACTGCCTATATTAATATTATGTTATGATAATAACTATCATAAACTATTAGTTAATATATGTATACCTTTTCATTGTAATATGCAAAGGCTAAGCGCTTTTTGCTGAACATCGAACACGTCGCTTCTCGCCGGGTATACGCTTAGGTGTTTTAGAAAGCTTTGCACATTCTAGGCTCTGTATTATATATTTTGTTTTAGGTAAACCAGTTGAAATAGACTGTAGGGACTTGACTCGCCGCTATGCAAATGACGTCATAGCTACATGTGCTTTCGGCCTTAAAGTGGATTCGTACACCGAGGGCGATACAAAATTTTTCGAAATGGGAAAAAATGCTGCGCAATTTAAAATGAGGCAAATGATCATGTTCTTTGCGTATAGTGCGTTTCCGGCTCTTGTTAAGGTACTAGAACATTTTCACAAAAACGATTAATCATTTATTCATAAACAATATATTTTATTAATATTTATTTCAGTGTATGAAAATGACACTATTTACTAAAGAAACAACATCATTCTTCAGAAGTTTAGTAATCGATACAATGAGAAACAGGGAAGCTCACAATATACTACGACCTGACATGATACATCTTCTGATGGAAGCCAAGAAAGGTTCTTAAATTTCTCTTTAATAACATAGTAAAAGCATAGACTGTACATTATCGAGTTTCAACTGATGATGATTTTTGAATGATGTAAATAATCGACTTTGACATGCAGGTTATAAAAATTCGTTTCTCCCTAACATAAATTCCTATTACCCTCAATAATATGTATACTGGCAATTCATTAGCGCAAGTGAGCCACAGCCGAGCCATTCCTTATTTTATACACTATACGCTATCTATATATACTATACGTGGTAAATTATACTGATTTATAAATAACGATATTTTAATTTTAGGGCAACTGACCCACGATGAAAAATCTAAAGAACGCGATGCTGGCTTTGCTACTGTAGAGGAATCTGCTGTTGGAAAGAGGCAAATTAATCGAAGTAAGTATAAGTTCACCTTGCTTTAATTCTATTCGTCCTATTTGTATGTTATATATTATACATTATAATTGACCTTGCACTTGCACCCTTTTAATAAGAACATTTTTATGAGGAATAAAAATTAATATATAAACTAATTGCTGTTCGTTTGTCTTGCTAAAACTCGGGAATGACTTTACCGATTTGGCTGATCAGGATCTTGAAATATTTGTGGACGTTCAGGGAAGGTTTGAACGGTGGAAAACATAAATAATAAGTAAAGAAATATAACGATATAATATAATTGCATTTTCCATATCTTATGTCTTAATAATAAAAATAAAAATGTATCACTTGGTTGTCATATATCTATAGATACCTTCAGAAATGTTTGTTTCATAACTGTACTATGAGGCCCGATTTGTCTGTTTTAAAATGTTTTATTAAGTTTAGACACAAATATATGTAGGTGATACGAAGTTCACCAGGTCATCAGTCTAGTCATGTAATGAAACTTTATATCATTTGCAAAATGATAGATTCAATAAATAATAGAGTACTTTTGGAACTGGTTTCATACTAGTTTATTATTAATCTCATCCGCAGAAACGCCACTAAAAAGTTTCATAGCTTAGTAATAATTCAAACCTAATAATAATTTATCTAATTTGCTTGTTTAAGCCTGGTCGGACAATGATCTAATAGCTCAAGCTGTGCTTTTCTTCATCGCCGGTTTTGAAGGTATATCTGCCGCTATGTCTTTCGCATTACGAGAGTTGGCACTGCACAAAGATATTCAAGACCAGCTAGCGAAGCATGTAAGAGAAGACTCTAAGAGAAACAATGGAAAAATTGACTACACATCGATTCAGAATCTACCTTACTTAGATAAGGTTGTTTCGGGTGAGGAAATCCTTGGTTCAAATACTTAAGTAACCTATTTTTTTTATTTATTTATTTTACGGAATAATACAATCTAAATCATGGTATAGTACCTTTGAAAACCACTGTGGTTTGGATTAATGTAACAATAATAGTCTTGTCAGGACAAATGCATATAAATATAATTATTTAAGTTCTTTTTGAAGTTATACTTCTTTTGGCGCGTTAGGGAAAAATGATGTGACAAAATTTTTATGATGCGCGCGCACAGTCACAAAAAACCGACACCCTGATGTTAGTTATACTCAATATTTTAGTTTTTATGAAATTACACTTCTTTTGGCGCGTTAGGGAAAAATGATGAGGGTATTTTTTTCTATTGTTAGTTTAGCTTTTTCTACAAATGTAGAAAGAATAAGGCGAAAGATGAAAAGATTTTTATCTTGTTACGCCAAAGAAGTATAACTTCTAACGCGTATATACGTACACACACGTTTTTTTTATGTTGCTTAAGCTATCTAAAAACTGACCGGATAGACCATTTATTAGCCGCGGCAGTAAATACTCTCGAGCCGAACTTGCGTACAGCGCGGTCCTGTACGATTTGCTCAACTCGTTTTTTATGTGATCTCGAAAACAGTAAGCTAACACTAATTCTTTGTTATTATTAAAGTACAAAAGGGTGAATATTATTTTACTAAATCATAGTTTTTTTTAATTTGTTTAATTTCAGAGGTGTTAAGATTATGGACTCCGGGCTTCCAATTAGACAGAATCTGTACAAAACCTTACAATTTAGGGAGGGCAAATAATAATACTGAAAAGGAATATATTGTAAGTAAAATTTATGATGGTAATACTATTTCAATATTCGTAGATATTCTTTAAATAACAACATTTCTAAGGTCATAATTACGTTTTATAATATAAGTAGCATACCGGCCAAGCGTTGCTGTGGCTAAGGTTTTAGTTATATTACATAGTAGTAACTTATTCAAGGGAAACGGTAGGAGAACACCAGTCATGGGGACCACCATGCTTTTTTGATGGTAATGTCATTAAATTGTAGCTTATGTGAAACGTTGGTACAGTCGACTCTCGATAATTTGAAACTCAAGGGACCAGAGATAAATTTCAAATTATCAAGAGTTCAAAATAACAAGTGTTTAAATAACCACAAGGGGAGGGGCGGGGCTACTGAAGGAAATAAGAATTTGATCAAAATTTATTACTTATTATTTCTATATTCTTATTATGTATTAACAATTATTCTAACAATTATTCACAAATTTTTATTTCGAAAAGAAGTCTGTAATCTTTTTTTGAGTGAGTGACTTCAGTTTATCATTGTCCAAAGAATTTTCGATAGTGGTGAGAGCTCTGCAGTGGTGGATTAATTTGTCAATCCATTGAGAACAAATGGAATTATCTACGCTGGCGCTTTCTCCACAGATTTTTTTAAATGTAAAGCCATGTAAATTTTTAAAATTTGAGAGCCAACCCTCGCTTGCTGCGAATCCTTCAATTCCAAAAGACTGTGCAAAAGACTTGGCTTTTTCCTTCAACATAAAACCACCGATTGGAACGTTTTGCCCTCTACACTGATGAATCCACTTAATCAAGCACTCTTCAAGACGAGGAAATTCTCCCTGGCGTGATCTTTTTCTACTCGCAATTAAGGCACTTCCCGTAATGTAATCTTTCTTTTTCAAAATCATTGACAATGTCGACGGTAAAATACCAAACTGTTTAGCAACATCTTTTTTAAATTGTCCATCCTCCACAGCTTGAATCACACGCTTTTTTTCACTTATGGAAAGACATTTGTTCTTTCTTCGATTCATTTTAATAGCACAAATCGAATATTAACGTGAGTCATTAACGTTTCAAAGAAGACTGGAATGCGAACTTACTCATACCTAATTTATGTAAACAATTGACAAGTCTGTGCATGTATGTAAACAAACGACAGGTATGTGCATGATAAACGCTTCAAATTATAGAAAGTAGGGAAGACCGGATTTCAAATTATCGCATGTTGGCGAGCAAGATATTACTTTTTCAACTTCAAATTACCGAAGGGACCAATTATCATTGATTTTATTCAATTTATCGAGTATTTTTCAAGGGACCGGATTTTTTTCTTCAATTTATCGAGAGATTCAAATTAACGAGTGTCAAATTATCGAGAGTCGACTGACTTTCAACACAGCGCCATCTGTTAGAATTGTGACTATCAAATAATAAACAAATATGTATTTTGCAATAAAATAATATTGCGGTTATAAATTGAGATGTAAGCTATCCTATCTTTTAAGTTAGATCAAACTGCACACGGTGTGCAAATTTGATTAAAATCGGTTCAGTAGTTTAGGAGTCCATAGCGGACAAACAACGTGACACGTAATTTATATATATTAAGATTAGTATTCATACTTTTAACAGTGTTTTATGTTTGATTTGTTTGGAGTCATTCAAAGTATATGCACTTAATATAAGGTATGTTTTGTACAGTGACCGACAGATATTTACAATTATAGACTGAATAAAATGCAGGAGTCGGCCTCTAGAAAGTCCCAATTCCTATAATTAAGACAACATCTAGAGATGTACTGCTTTTTTGTTGCTGATGTCGCCAACTTGGAATTACGTAGTGATAATAATATTTAAAAATGGAAATTACGATATATAATAATGTATAAATAAAAAACAAACAGTGGTGCTACAACTTCTTTAGGTCTGGGCCTCAGATTTCTGAATCTGTTTTATGATAATTTTTCAATCTAATAGGCTAGTGCTACCTACTTGTCTACTGGATCAGTCAGAGTCAGTCGAAGTCAGACACACGCCGTCGACTTTTTGGGTATAAGACATGTCGGTTTCCAAATGCGCAGATAGAAATCTGCACGTTGAAAGTCCATTGGTGCATAGCCGGGGATCGAACCTAAGACCTCAGGGGTGAGACGCACGCTGAAGCCCCCAGGCCAACACTGTTCTGTATGTATTATATTTACAGCTACAAAAAGGTGATCAGATTATAATACCAGTATGGTGTCTCCATCGGAATCCGGAGTTCTTCCCTGACCCAGAGAAATTTGACCCAGAGCGATTCGCTGATGACAAGAAGGACCTTATAAAGCCTATGACATATATGCCATTCGGGGTTGGCCCCAGAAATTGTATCGGTATGTAACTTACCATGTGTTCAAATGAATCTTGGTTCCGTGTTCGAAAACTAAAAGATTAGGAGCCTAAATTGTATGGAAAGCGCAGTAAGGTCTTTCCTATATATGTATATCTACGAATCGTCGTTGTCACTAATTTGAACATAAAAATCGAGTCTCTATTACAGCCACTGTTAATAATTGAATTTTGATTCTTCCAATTCAAAGTAATAATAGTCTAATCATAGACACTATATATATTTTCGATAGATATCTATTGCAAATAAAAATACAATTTATATTTTCACCCTACTGATTTATGATGAAGTATTCTAGTCTGTAGAAAAGTTAGAAATTTCCAATAAAACAATTTATTCGGGACGTAATGAAGGTGCAATTCAAAAGTACCAAATTATTGTATTGAAGAAAATCTTTTTTTCTATTTCATTTTCAAGGAAAACGCAAATACCAACTAAGTATTCCTTGCCTAAATTAAATTTTCTAAAAAAAACCTTAGATTTCTGTACCTGTTTCATGATCATTTATGAATATAATAGGCAAGTAGATGATCAACCTCCCGTGAAGCCCATGGACACTCACAATGCCAGAAGGCTCGCAAGTGCGTTGCTGGCCTTTCAAGAATTGGTACGCAATTTTCTTGAGGGTTAACTGCGCAGATAGAAAGAAAGTTCATTGGTGCACAGCTGGGGTTCAAACCTGTGACCTCAGGGATGAGTCGCACGCTTAAGCCACTAGGTCAACACTGCTCAAACTAAAGTCAAAGTAAGTCGAGTTACGGAATTTCATAGTATTAACATTTTTAGGATCGCGATTCGCGCTGTTGGAGATTAAGATGCTAATCTATCAGATTCTGCTGCACATGGAAGTTCTGCCGTCAGAGAAAACTGTCTTGAATCCAGTTTTTTCAAAGGATACATTCAACCTCAACCTAGAGGGAGGTTTTTGGTTAAACTTCAAGATTCGAGAGTAAACTTACATAAGTATAATGTAATAAGATATATCCTAGATTAAAATCGTACTATGAAAAATTATGTAACAAGTCACATAATTGATTTATGATAAAAAATACTGCTGGCTCTTGTATATTGGTTTCGAATTAAATTGTATAATTATGTTTTTAGTTGTTTATTGCTCTTGCACTGAAACCTAATTGTTCGTATTTTCTTGAAATCTATCCCAGTGAACCCAATAAACAGCAGCTGTTTATGCTTTTAATGAGCTGATGAGAATACAATATCTGGAGCTCATATTTTTGAGTCGTGATCACTTGTTATTTTTAATAGGTGATCAGCCTTGTGTCTGACGCATGCCTTTTTGGGTCTAAGGGATATTGGTTTCGACAAGATGTTTACCTTCACCATACGGGCAAGTGTTAATAAAAAGGATTATTTTCTCCAAATGTATTATTTATTCCAAGTTCTTCTATCCTTGTTCCTAACTCTGTGATAAATGAAACCTTTAAAATATATTTTATTTTTTGAAGTTATACTTCTTTAGGCGCGTTGTGAAAAATTGATGAGAGTGAAATTTTACGATGCGCGCGCACCGTGACACAAATTTAACAGAATGAAGTTGCCCACTAACGAATTATTTTTTAACCAGCCGGGCACCGAGCGTGCGCGAGCGAGATGGGAATAAGACAATCTTCAAGTAAAAATAAATAGAATATGCGTGAAGTTAGCAGCTATGCCAAGAATTTTGAATGACCATAATGACCTTTGTAGTACCTTTTAAACAAATAAAGGAGTTTTAATTATTTTTTCAAAGAAATTTAGCAATGCTTTTTCACAAATACCTATTGTTACTTAGTTAAAAGGTTATGAAACATACCTAGTTATTAAATTGAATGAATAATATAATAAAATAATAAATAATAATAATTATTATTAATAATATTAATTAATAATTGAATAATATACTGAATATTAAATATTATTAAATTATTAACGTTAAATATTTATAATTAATTATTTAATATTTAAAAAAATAAAGAAAGCCAAAGAAGTATAACTTCTTACGCGCGTACATAAGTACACGCACCCTTTTTTTTAAACAAAATACATATATATATATATTCATTCAGTGATATGTCAAGTAGCAAACTTCAGCTTTGCTTTGCTTCTTTGTATAAATATTGTTTAGCGGTATGCTAAATATGTATGTATGCACAATTAAAAGTATTGTTTTATTTTCAAAATAGAGAATTTCATAATTGGTCTATAATATTGGTAATAATTGGTCTATAAATTGGTCTATATTATGTAGTAATAAAAATATATTTATAACATAATAATTTATATATTTCTTAAACTCCCCTAACAGTCACCCTTAAAAAAATGCAACGCTTATACAAACTAAAATATTATTCTCTAATATTAAAGTTAAGCCAGTGTCCACCTTCCAGGCGAAGATTGAATGACTCTAGCGAAAGTTTTGCAGGAATACAGCTCTTTGGAGAAGGAGACACTTCCATGTGTTGAATTATTTGAAATATCAACATTTTCAGCTCACACAGCGCAAATCTTGAACCTGGGAATTTAAAGAGAATAAATAAACACTATTTAAATTTAATGAACACATCGTCTATTTAATTTGGCCAAATTTCATAGACGATGTTATGACCAAAGTCAGTAGAAGCTATGTAAGTATATATAGTTTACTATCATTATGAATAACGGATCAACTCACAATATTCAAACATCCAATGGCACTACAACCCTTTAAGTATGGAGCTCAGATTTCTGTATCAGTTTCGTGATCGCTTGTTTTTTAATCGACAAGTAGGTGATCAGTCTTCTATGCCTGACACGCCTTTTTGGATCTAAGGCAAGCCGGGGTTCGAACCTACGATCTCAGTTAAGACTGCCCTTTGTTAACAGTAGAACCTAACATTTTATGCAGGTCTGGTGCAGCCTCTTAGATTAAAGATTTTTTTTCATAACTTCCATAGATATAGATCGTAAACATACAGTAGTTGTTTCAAAAGTAGAGTTAATTTCAACTAACCAATACAATTCCTGGGACCAACACCAAATGGCAGATATGCAATTGGATTAATTTTGTCTTTGTTTTCATCGGAAAATCTTTCTGGATCAAACTTTTCTGGATTAGGGAAATAATTAGGATCCCGGTGAATTGACCAGATTGGTAAAAATAAGCATTCGCCTTTTCTTACCTGTAAATTAATATTAAATAAAATTTTACGCATTCATTAAAATAAAGCTACCTAACGGGAATTTAAATATTGAGTAATATTCTATTAATAATTAACTAATGCCCGCAACATTATCCAGTGAAATACAAATTATCACCGCGACATCATTTTGTTTGTGAACGCACTGTACATGGGGAGTAAAACTATCACATTTTCCAAATTTATGTTATCTTTTACAATATTATATCTTTCTGTCTCCAACCACCTCAGCCGTAATCCCACACATTGTTTCATTTTGTTTAAACACAAACTGTAGGATTGCGGCTACTATTACTCGAATCAATTAGTTTAAATTAAGTATTAATTCGTTTAATCTATTTGTAACCTACAGCTTAGTAGTGTTTACAATTATAATATTTTATTGTTGTAAACAAATAGCCAAACTCGGAAAATTTATTTTGAATTCATTGGTAGGAAAAGTTATCGCCATGTAGAAAATTTGTGCCCATCTGTCTGTTAAAAGCATAAAGATATCACGGTTTCATACATGGCTTAAAATACTGAATGATACATGTACCCTCCATGTCTAGGGGACATATGTAGTTATAAGTAGTTTTAAGGAGTTCTCGTCCTAAAAATATGCCAAAGTAGGTAGGCGGACTAATCTGCATTTAACTCGCGCTAACATAATCCGTGTCGATACTAATAGCAAACTAATTTTAAGGCAGTTGTACTCACAATGAAATCTTCAGTAGAATTTTTGTTTGGTTTTCCAAGATTATAATCCTTGTTGCATATTCTGTCTGTAGCTATAGCCGGTGGCCATAATCGCAGTACCTCTGGAAAATATATAACCGTTAGAATTTTTTGTAGACTCAAGCCATTTTAAGACCTCTGCTACATAGCTATATTATGGTAAACGTTTTGTAATATATAATGTGGATGTTGATGCGTTTATTATGCGCGGCCTTCGCTGCAGCTAAAATTAAAATATAATACATATAAAATTTTAGTAAACATGACAATCGTACTCCTACAATATTCAATCTCGTGTAGAATCAATGATGTTCCGTAATTAACCGTTTTTTTTATAGAACACTGAGTCACATGTATTCGTTATTATAGTCCACAAAGAATTTGTACGTGACAAAGAATGATCAAGTGTTTTAATTAGAATTTAATTAGAATTTCGCTAAAGTATAGTAAGTATGAAGTAATAATGATACTAACCTGAGACTACCATATCCATGTAACGCAAATTCTGAATAGAATTAAAGTCAATTTTTCCACCGTTCTTTATATGATCTCTGATTTCTTTTGCCAATTTGTCTTGAACTTCAGGATGCAACGCCAGTTCGTGTAACGTGAAACACATTGCAACAGATATCGTCTCGAAACCAGCGATAAAGAAAAGAACAGCTTGTGCTATAAGGTCATTATCTGTCCATTCTGTAAAAATAGTTTTCAACCTTCCTTATATTTTGCTTATATACCAAATATTATTTACTTATTTACGTAATAACGTTACGGACAGAAGTTTTGCGCTAATGAAGAGGTAATCGATGAAAACCCCATTTTGAGGCTAAAGAAAATCGTACTATAAAAATGGTATCGAATGGTATAACCTCTATAATTGTTGTATCGCTCTCGAAAGCTACTATATTGAATTAAAACAAATTCTATAAAAAAATATTTTCTATGTTAGCCTACGAACTTTTCAGCCCAACGATTAATTTGTAATCGTCAGGTAAACTATTGATCTACGTCGATCTGTAGGGTAGAAGCCAGAAGACGGAGTGATATTTTTTTAAGCATGTTTAAAAATCATTTACAGAAAGATGGAGGACTATAGCAAGTCATATCATACCACAAGAATCATTGTACCTTTATTTTTAGCTTTAGAAAATTACGATCATATATAAATTTACTAAACAAACTATAGGACGACAATGTATTTATTTTTAGCAAAGCTTGCTTACCTCTTTTAACAGTGGTCTTTCCAACATCCGATTCCTCAACAGTTGCAAAACCTGCGTCTCCAACAGAATCTTTCGCTTCATGATTTAAACGACCTACACAAAATAATATTACATTCTCCCTTTTCCAAGAGAGGTTGATAAGAGTATCATCATGATGCACCAATAAATTTATGATATCATGGGGATAAAATGATCTGAACTTATTTTAGGAGAAAATCATAATGTTATAGCAACTGAGGAGTAAGATTTCGTTCATGCTTCTTTTAAGCATAAATATTTCTTCTACTTACAATAAAATATTTTTTCCATGAATAGTACGAATAAGATTTTTATGAACACAGCCTTGCTATTCTGTAACTCACCAAAAATTACCAAATCGTAAAATGACTGCTTCACGACTGATTAGAGCGCGACCGCCACTGCGAAAACCGCTGTGAGAGTTCGAAAAGTGAGTTACAGAATCGCAAGGCAGAACAAATATCGATAAATGTATTATTAAAATGTATCATAATGAGAGTTATCTTATACGTTTTTGCCGACGAAGTCTTTTTCATTAACATTATAATACAAATATACCTTTTTTAGCCTCCATTAACAAGTGAATCATGTCTGGACGTATTATATGATTGACTTCTCTAGCGTGCATCGTGTCTTTAACGAGCGTTATGAAAAAGTTTGTCGTTTCTTTCGAGAAAAGGGTCAATTTTAATTTCTGTAAATAATAAATATAACTAATAGAAAACTTGTCAATAGATGGTGACGTTATACTGCCCTTATATGATAGTTCACTTTATCCGGACCAGAGGATTGGTTAGCATGACTTAATACGTTTCATGA